TTTATTGGATGTTTAAACTTTCGTCACTCTACGCTCCTTACATTATTGCAGAGGCCCGACAATGAATAATAGAAAGCGTACACTCGTCAAACGCGACTTCTTAAATGATAATATCTATAAATCCACAAGCACCCGCCAAAAGTAAGTTCAGTAAGCTTGAGTCGGAAGCTTGTGCCGATACCTAGTCACTAGACTAGTGTTCCATGAGTAGAACAGGCAAATTTAGTTGAGCCTATCAACACGCATTTTCTTGGTAAAACCGGATAGCAAGACCACTGAGCAAAGGATACTGAACCGCTACTTTGGCAACGGCAACAAGCACGTCTGACGACGAAATAAACCGATCAATTGTATGCTGTGTGGACGCCTAGCCAGTGCAGCTGTGATGGCTGGTGCCAGCGAAATTACATCAATGAGGGCTTAGGGCATGGAGCCAATATGACGCATACTGGAAGCATGTTGACAGTAAACCCGCACAAGCGAGGGCGCAAGTCGCTTAACTGCGCACTTTTCTAAGAACATCATGAGATCTAGTTAGGCCAGCCGGGATCCTCGCTCCTCCATTGACAGAAACGACTATGGGCAGATGAACATTACAGGCAAAAACCAAGGGGCAAGAACTTCCTTGTCTCTACCGGCAATATTCCTCACCTGAGCTACTGGCGGGCCCAAAGAATGAGCTCAAAGGTACAGCGGGACGAGGAAGTTCCGTTAGCGATCGGCAAGCCGAATTATTCCACGCATAAATGCATTCAGCGAATTAGCCGACAAAATCTTGACCGTAAATATGGTGTAATGGTCGACTCAAACTGTATGTCAGCTAACAGTGGAAGCTGAAGTTATCAGGGCAAGGGTGACGATAAATAGGAAATAATACGATTGGAGAAAAAGATAGCGTCTACCTTGTAGCAATGAAGTTACGGTGCTCCTTCAAACGGAATGCGCTATTTTTGTGGTAAATAAAACCGGGGGTCGGTAAGGCTGCGCCGAGCCTGTGCAAGCCCATAACTGTTGTCGCACAGACTTGAAACCCAGATCACTCAAAAAATCGCACTGAGTTCCAGCACCTACGGTTCAGTTCGATCAAAAAGTCGCTGTTTCATTGCCAGGTAACGGCCCAACTGCACTGCTACTCGATTTATCCGACTGGACGGCCTGAAAACCGAACTCTGGTTAAGAAGGATTCAATAACCTGAAGTAGTCCGGCCACCCAACACCTCGCCGACCTCCGAGGTTAAGCTTCCTAATCCGATCGTTAATGGTGATCATATAAGTCACAGTTAACACACCGGACTTGGCAAGCGAACATACGAGTAGGCTATCGGAGGGGGGAAACGACGAATCACAGAGATCTCAAAAGACTGAAAATCTAATCAAACTGCGAATGATCGCTTGCCATTAACAACGGCAAGACGTACAAGAAAATCGAGAGAACACTGATTTGTACCACCAGTTCATTTCCTGCAAGAGCTGGAAAAGACCGCCTCCAACCGCTATGAAGCCCAGATTCGTCGTCCATGTGTGTGACGCTACAATGAACGTGAGTAGGCTTCTTAACCTGCAGGAAAGCCTAACAACACCTTCCCAGACGTTCAGTTCACAAGGGAAGAAGAACGAGAATTACCCCTCCTTCCTTAGAATTCTCGTTATGTGCAGACTCAATGGCTCACTCTGCAACTTATACAAGCGTAATTCGGATTCTCAGTTATCACGGTACCCACGCGGCGGCAGAAAAACGCTGCTACGTTCTTGCGAATGGCAAAAGGGCAATACGCTGACTGAGACGAAGAAATATAGGAAATTCTGTAAAGAAGAGGAAGACGCGATCTCTGGAACGATAATTTTATCCTGAGCTTTCGGCTCCACACGAGAAGCCATCGTCAGAGTAAATGA